ATATTGCTGTAAAAAACTGCTGCTAAAGAGTGAATACATAAGGGATAATGCACGGCTGGCTGTACATTGAACGAAGGCAAGAACCACCTGACGCAAAGCTACAGCTCGTTAGCTCTGCATTCTGCCCGCTTCAGATCAGAAAGAGATGAAATAGTGTGGTAAGATCACATTTATTTGAATTATAACATTTAGCTACTTGAATTAATTATGAGAGAGAGAGAGAGAGAGAGAGGTGTGTGACAGAGGTGTGTGACAGTTGCCTGTGTGAATTAGCCTACCTGCGTCTGTGCGCCTCTCCAGTAGGCTATTTTATTAATAAAAGTCACGAGGCGGCATGGGCAGCGTTCTCAAGAAGTTTGTGTCCTCCTGAATGTTCGTAGACGTGCGCAGTGCGATCTCCGATCTCACAAACCAAAATAATAGATATGATTTTCTCATGTAAAAGCATACGAATTATTATAAAGATTATTAAAATGAATACGTATGGATGACATTTTGATTACAATATTTCAGTTTATTTCCATCATTAGTAACAGTTTCCCCTGTGGGACAAATAAAGTTAATATTAGTCGTATATATTAATAATAGGCTACTTTATTAACTTTATTTACTATCCCTGTTGTAGTATTATTCATAAGTATAAACCAACAATATTTTTTTTCACCATGTTTCCAAATTCTCTACCCCAGGTCCAAAAGAAATGTAAAGAATGTACAAACTGAAAACATTAAATACTTTTGTGATCTATTTCCATTTGTTATTTTCAAAAGAGAAATACTGTCATGGATGTTTACAGAGCAGAGGTCACCTTTTTTTAATTCCAATGGGAGAGATTTGTCTTTTGTTTATTATTATTTTGTGCTGTATTGTTGGTTACGGTGTTATTTATTTTTCAAAAGTAAGCAATAAATAACACTTTAATATCTAAAGAGTGTTCATGTGATTTTATACATTAGTAATGTTGGGAAATGAATAAATGCATAATAATCGTCATAATCGTAAAACCGTGATTATTCCTCAGACAATAATCGTACCAACAAAATCTATAATCGTTGCATCCCCCCTAATTGTGACCTGTAGGTTTGATAGATGTTGTGTGCTGACACTCACCTCCATCAGTGGTCATGTCCTGTTCCAGTTTCAGCTTCTCCTGTCCCACACGGAGCATGCAGGCCTCAATCGAGTCTCTGCTGATGAGCTTGATCACCTGCACTGTTCTGCAATGCAAAAACATCATCATGAACCAGATTTCCTTCTTTATGGCGATCTCAAATTTCCTTTCAATTATACTAACCTGGTTTGCCCCATTCGATGACAGCGGTCCTCTGCTTGTTTATCATTGAATGGATTGCAATCAATGTCATGCAGTATCACTGTGTTTGCAGAGGCAAGGTTGATTCCCTGCCCCCCAGCCCGGGTCGACAGGAGGAACACAAAAATTTCAGGGTTTGTATTGTATTTGTCGATGAGACCAATCCTAGAGAAGCAAAGAGGGTTAAATTTGATTTGTTCAGACAGGCAGCTTCCTACTTGAATCGGTTTAGTTATTCGAGACTTGAAAAAAACTTTTGGGACATAACACCACACAAGTGTAGTGTGTACAGTAGGGGTGGAACAGTACACAGATGTCACGGTTCGGGGCATACCTCGGTTCGGGGGTCACGGTTCGATACGATTACAGTACAACAGGAAAAAATAAATAAATAAATAAACCATGCTCGGATTCTTTACATTTACTTTGAACAGACAGTAGTACAAATTACAATTTTCTCCACCTAGATGTGAAAATACTAAATATTATTACATTGTTAAAAATATATAATCTGCAGTACATGTATACATACAAGGAATACATTCTTGAAATATATTTGATTTAGTTTACAGATAAACAAGGGGGAAAAAACAGTGCAACACGTTACGTAGCCTATATATGCCGAGTTTAATTTGTGACAGGTTTAATTTGTTCACAGAAAGGAAACTCAAATGGCAGAAAGCGACATCCTATTTGTTTTCTTTATTTTACAAAAGCACAATGTTTTGTTTTCATTGTGTGCACACAAATAAAAGCAGACCTTTATACAGTGATGCATTATTAATAAGACAATAAGTGTTTAAAGTTGATTCTGCTGGTATAGACCATTTCAAAGACGTAAACAATAACAAAGGCGTTGGAACGCTACTGCGCATTTCAGGTAGCGCCATTTTTAAATCTCAGATCTGTCAAAACAATCATGTACTTTTTAAGTGTAGCGAAACGCAACAGTTGCGGTATTAAAATTATATATTTTTTTTAATAAACGGTTATTGGAATTACCCTTTAAATATGACTGAGGTGAAAACTTACAAAGAAATTTAAAAGTAGTCTTCCGGACGGCTCTGATTGATGCTGCGTGCGTGTACACGAGAGATGGCGGTAAATGCATATATAGATGCAATTAACTCCTTAACGGAAAGGTTGGGATCATTTGTTCGTACAATGGATTAAATCAGTCTTATGTTTGGTTAAACTGAAGCAAGACAAACAGTCACTTACGTACTTATCAAGGTTTGTCGCCAAGATGGCTGGGGAGGTTTTTAATGGACATATCACTTGCATTGCTGGGTCATGTATATCTACGCAAATATTCATTTTCATATTTATTTGTACAGCGCTTTTCACATTACATATCGTTTCACTGCAGCTTTATAGAACATGCATGTATATTACAACGCCAAATGAATGCTAGGATACTAAGCAATAAATGCCATTATTACTGATTTCATTCGTTTTAAAATGTGTGCTAAGTAGAATTCTCCTATGCTCATCAAGCCTGCATTTAATTGATCAAAAATACAGACAAAAACAGTAATATTTAGAAATGTTATTACAATTTAAAATAATGGTTACCTATTTTAACCCATTTAATCTCACTGGTCACAATAGTGACCGTAAAAAAAGGTTTTCGTTTATAAAGCTCTAAAAAAAACTTGGTTTTAGTGCACTTCCTGCAAATATGGAAAAAATAAATGGTGTCAATTAAATATGTGCAGTGTCACATGGTTAGTGCAAATTGTCACATGACCAGAGCAGTTTATTTCTTGTTTGCACCATGAGATGATGGCTCCATCAAAGCTGCAAAATGAGGGGCTAGTAAAGTATGTTAACAAAGATATGACAAAGACTTTTGGTACACATTTTTAGGGTGTCTAGTATTAATATATGAATTCACATATATTCAGTTTTGTTGAGTGTGGTCATAGAATGAGTAAACACTTTTCCAAAAAAAAGTACAAATTATTGATATTTCAAAGGAATACTAATGACCCATCATTTGGATATTTTCATGTCTGAGAAAAATTTGGGATTAAACGGGTTAATATGCTTTAAAGTGTCATTTATTCCTGTGATCAAAAGATATGACAAAGACTTTTGGTACACATTTTTAGGGTGTCTAGTATTAATATATGAATTCACATATATTCAGTTTTGTTGAGTGTGGTCATAGAATGAGTAAACACTTTTCCCAAATATTTTTACAAATTAATTCTTGATATTTCAAAGGAATACTAATGACACATCATTTGGATATTTTCATGTCTGAGAAAAATGTGGGATTAAACAGGTTAATATGCTTTAAACTGTAATGTATTTCTGTGATGCGCAGCTGTATTTTCAGCATCATTACTCCAGTCTTCAGTCTCACATGATCTTCAGAAATCATTATAATATGCTGATTTATTAGCAGTGCTGGAAATTGTTGTGCTGCTTAATATTTCTGAGATAATTTTAGGATTTTTTTAAGAATAAAAAAAACGGCATTTATTTAAAATAAAAAAATGTTTTGTAACAACATGCACTACTGTTCAAAAGTTTGGAGTCAGTTTTTTGTATTATAATATTAATACATTTATTCAGCACATTTGTTAAATTTATTTAAAAAAGTGATAATGAAGACATACTGATAGGAAAGATTTCTATATTTTGAAAAACCCTGCCAGGATTCAATCAATCAATCCTGTATAAAGTATCACAGATTCCAGAAAAAAATATTAAGCAGCACAATTGTTTCCAACACTGACAATAACCAAGTATCAAATCAGCACATTAAAATGGTCTCTGAAGGATCATGTGACACTTAAGACTGGAGTAAAGGCTAATGAAAATTCAGCCTTGCATCACAGAAATAAAGAATATTAAAACAGAAAACTATTTTTTTTTAAATTGTAATATTTCACAATATTATTGATTGTCTATTTTTGATCAAGTGAATGGAGGCTTGATGAGCATAAGAGACTTCTTTCAAAAACATTAAAAATAGTAATGTGTCCAGACATTTGACCAGTACTGCATATAAACAAGACATCCTCTCGCTTTCAACTGTTTCAAGCAAATTTATTAATATGTGATCAATGTCAAAAGCAGCAGGCTGGCCATGAGCAGCTTTACATTGCATTTCATCCTCAGGTTCTCAAACACATCTGGGTGTTCATATGGTCACATGTGGTTTGGCACTGCAGGACAACCAGCTGTCCTTCCTTTCTCCCTGTAGCACTCACTGTCTTAGGTGTCTTACATTACAGATGATGGCTTTCCTAAAGACAAAAGCAGAAAAATAATTTAATTCAATGCACAATATTTATAAATAATACTATTATTGTTTAATACATCAGTACATGTTGGAATTAACATTAGACAAGCATAATGAGTGATGAAAAAAGTTTACCGTTAGCTTTTGTAAACTACTGCAGTTAACCGTTTCACTCTTCAACATTCAAGTTTACAGTATACATTTCTATAACGTGTTACTCACTGCATTTATCTGCTGACAAGATAGCTAGACAACTAATGTGAACTCATATTTAATTATAGCTCACATAACGCTTGGCAATAAAACGGAAATAAAAGCTTGGCCTTTTTCACTAAACAAGAATCAAGCCGCTAGGCGCATATGTAAACAATGACGACAACACAATTTTGCATCATACTTGAAGAGTTAACGTAAATAAATACAAATGATCAAATGGAAAAAACAACATGTCCTTACCTGAATGGAGCTGTGCTGTAGATCCACGAGCTGCGATTCTGCTTCTCGCTTCACTGCTGCAATCCAGGCGCGAATCTCGGAAATCGAAACCCTTTAATTTCCGATTATTTATAAATTAAATGTTAGTTCCAGGCCAGAGGGAGCACCCAACCACCGAGCAACAAGGATCTAATTTTAATTTTGACATTTTAAACAGCAGGATTGAATCAATTATCGTAATCCCACTGTGCATCAAGCGCCTGCCGCCATTGTTTTGAATGCGCTCAAACACTAACCGGAAACGTCCAAGGAACAAAGACGTCACTTCCTTAAACCGCCGAATATCCGTTGAAATGGTCCATAAGGAAACAGTTGAAGTGATTGCGCCGGCGCGCGCACACACACAACACATCAGTTCCAGCATTGCTAACTTGACAGCACAGTTGGTACTTTATCTAAATAAAATACAGTGAAACAAACATCAGCGCGCCAGCCTCTGTGTCACAGTTGGAACTGAAGTACAAAGCCTACAATTTACATAAATATTAGTTTAGCATTCAGATACGTTACATCGCAAATATGGAAATCTTATGAGAGGTAGGACACACGAGCACAAAGCTCCATTTCGCGAACAGTTGAGTGCACAAGCCTTTAAAGTATACTCCTTTGCCAGTCTGTGAGAGACGCATTCAGAGTCAGCACATGGTCACGGTCTAGTGGGCTTGGTTTTCAAGTGCGCAACTCACAGCATTCGCTGTTCTTCTGCTGGTGGTCAGTTATCATACAGCATTGCATTGCTGCCCTCTTCTGGATTGGGGTGAATTGCCTGTATTCGTTGTAAGGCAACATGCATCGAACCGAGATGTCCATACCGTGACCGTTCGGTACGAATGCACGTATCGTTCCACCCCTAGTGTACAGTTGTCTTTATTTTTACATTTATGCTCACATGCGGATCTTTTAAATGTGAAAACAGTGGATATTGAAATAAAATGTACTGTCTGAATGATTGGTCAATTGCATTTCATTACTTGTAAAGTGACAGTAGGACAGTCAGTCCTAAATATCAAATCTGAATTGAGTGCAGTACAAACAAAGTGACATGAGGTACTGAAGAAGCTAATAAGCAAGTCATGTTCACCTCTCTGCCATGGGAGTAGAACCATCCAGTCGAACAAACTGATGGTCAAGGTGTTTGAGCAGAATCTCCACAATGTCCAGCATCATAGTGAACTGACTGAAAAGGACAACCCTATCACCCTTGAGGAAAAAGAAAGTTGTTTTAAAACACATCAGCAACAATAATAATATGCAAACTAAATTCAAAATGACTCATCAGGAGACTGTTAAACAGCATCTAGACAAACCTTTTCTTTGAGCATGGTGAGTATTTTGGTTAAAAGTGCAAACTTCCCAGTGTCTAAGAGGAGCTCTTTCTCCAGCTGAAAACTGCTGATGGAGCTGTACTGTTTACATAAATTATGCAGCTCAAAATCAGACATCACCTCCATGTCCTCCTGGATCAGTGCAGGGTCTGCATCAAAATGTGTCGGTTCCTAACATAAGCAAAACCATGTCATCTCAACAACAGTATGCAATACAGCAGTGGTTCTCTGTCATCATTTACTCCCCCTAAGGCGTTTCTTTTATCTGTTGATGCTACGTTACTTTGAAGAATGTTAGTAACTAAACAGTTGCTGGTCCTCAACTGACTCAATTATGTAAAGCGGGGGGAAGGGGGAAAAAAAAAAAAAACATACTATGGAAGTGATGTCAGTGGGGATTAGAAACTATTTGGTTACTCACATTCTTCAAAAACTATTCTTGTGTGTCCAGCAGAGGAAAAGAAACTCATAACAGGTTTGGAACAACTTCAGGGTGAGTACATTTCACTTTAATTTTTGGAACAAACAAGTTTCCAGGGCTGGATTCATGATAAACAATTTTGTTTTTAAATGCACAGTTCAATCTTTATTATTCAGCCTGCTTTACACATTTATCTCCCAGTCCTCACCTTAAGCATGGCTTTACTCATGGCAGCCAACTTGTCACTGGTGTAGTACTGGCGGTGCAGCAACGGATGATTAGCCATCTTTCTCAGCTGCATCATCACATTGCAAAGCTCCCGCTCTGAGGACAGAGGAGATAGGAATTGTGTGACAGACGATCAGTTTTTTTTCAGATCCTCCAGCTTAGAAGGAACATTTTCTTGACAGCCCCTGTTTAACGAGTTCATTTGCCCATATAATCTTAAGGAAATTGTGTGTAAACTTATTTGGCTTGCTGTCCACTGATGAGGGGCTTGATGAAGCAGCTTCAACTCGAGCTCTGATATACCCCCGGGACTTGATATAGGATGATTACGAAGGGCAAGGTACCTAAGATGAAGGTGGAGTTTTGGGGAGGTGGAGGGATGCTGGAACAGCTGAGACTGGAGAGAGGTAAGCAGCTGCTTATATACTCTGGCTGTTGACTGAAAGATTAGATGGGCTCGCTCCTCCCTAACTTACGTTAAGGAACTTCATATAATGTCAGACATATCTGAATATAATAGAGGCTAACCAAAAAAAAAAAGTGCAATACTCCTAAACCGCACGTTAGCATAAAAAAACAAAAACAAATTAATAGCACGTACTGTCTCTATTCGGAGCCTTCTTGAGTCTTTTGAAAAGTTTCTCATACAGATTCTGCTGGGCATCACTCATGGGACACATTTCAATGTTCTCCACTTTTGGTGGAAGCCATTTCAACACCTAGTATAACATTTACAAAGTCACAATTAGGGTGGGCAAAAATTATGATAATCACATAATCACAGTGGAAAAAAGCATCTACCTGACTCTTGACTCGTCTCAGAATGAATGGCTTCATGATAAGTTTGGCCTGTGCAATTCTATCCTTGTGAAAACGGCTTTCTTCCTCTGATGACCTCTGAAACCAAGCAGATGGGCAGAAAGTGAGAGCATTTTGTCTAGGTATATAATGATTACTGTATCCTAAAATTGAATAAAATGTAGATACATTTTTGAGAGATGGCACAGTATTATAATTAGAAGTAATGTGTGCACTGTCTGTACCGTTGAGAACATTTTGGAGATCTGTGAGGTGCTGCTGGAGAACATGGAGGGCATGATGAAGTTCAGGAGTGACATGAGCTCCAGCAGGTTGTTCTGTAAAGGTGTTCCTGTCAGCAACAATCTGTGCTCAGCCTGTAGATGACAGGCACAAATGTACAACCAAGAGGTATAGATAAGCACAACTTTACTACCCTTCTCTTCATTAAGAACATCCCAAACTAACCCAAAAGAGACAGACTGGTGGTGAACAGCATTTCTTTAAATCGTATTTGCAATATTGTTTACGCTACAGAAGACTGCTTGTACTGACATTGATGGCCATGAGGTGGCGGTAGCGTAGAGAGTTCATATTTTTCAGCATGTGGCCCTCATCAAACACAGCATACTTCAGTCTTAGCTTGCGGAACAGACTGCGGTCATAGTCATTCCCTATTGTGAGATTGTAACTAATACAGATGAAAGCAGAAAAAAAAGGAAAGGCAAATGTTAACACCACTGAATACATGTGACTTTCATAAACACACAGTCAGTACAACAATATACAAGTACTGTAAAACAATGTACTTACGTGGATACTATGATGTTGAATTCAACTAAGCCACTGAGGATGTCTTGTCGCAAGTATCTGCGGTCTTCCACAGACCCTACAAGTATAAACACAAAATAATTGAGCAAGGACATAAAGGTGGACATTTTGTATTAATATGTATTATTTTGCACTGGGGTTCTAAGACCACACTGACAAAAATTTTTGTTTAAAACTATTTGCCTGAAAACTAACTTACCATAGTAAATAAGAACTTTAAGACTGGGACACCAAAGACCCAGCTCACGAACCCAGTTATCTGCAAAGAGAGAAATGCATCATCTCAAGCAACACTATAGGGACAAGTTTATATGCTACACTCCCACTGAAATAAGTGTCTCTTACCCAGTGTGGACGAGGGTACTGTAATAAGATGAGGGCCCTTGATTCCTTTTTCGTACAAGTGAGCCAGGAAAGAGATAGCCTGAATAGTTTTACCCAGCCCCTGTGGAGAGATCAAATCACTTATAACCAATATCCTTGATAATAGTCCTTTGCTTTAAAGGAATGAGTAACCTTCTTGGATTTCACGCCTTTGAACTCAATATGACAGTGACTCACCATTTCATCAGCCAGGATGCCACTCAGGTTGTGCTGATGCAGAAGAATCAGCCACTTCAAGCCAATCAGCTGATATGGCTGGAGTTTGAAACTAAGAGAAGTCAAAAACAAGAAGTTAAAAAAAAAAAATAGCATAACTGGATATCCCAGGTGTGTATTATGAGAATAGATAAACTCACTTGCTGTTCAGGACTTTGGGTTGCTTGATGGAGCCCATGCCTGCTTCTATGACCTGGGTAACATCTTTAGTCATTTTCTGTGCAATCTTCTCACATCTTCCCATAAGGTCTCTAACCACCTGCCTCTCCTTAAGCACAACCTTGCAGCCATGTACCAGATCTATAGACAGGCCATTATCCTTATAGAACTGCTCTTTCTGAAAGAAAAGGAACAAAATTAGCGCTTTTCCACCATGGGCCGAATGGTTAATGTAGCTAAATAGTACAGTTCTGTACCAATTAGGGCTTGCTAACATACTTTGTTTGTTTTTCCCAATCGGGAGTTGCCACGTCAGACAAAGCCTTTCCACCAGTATGGTTCACCTGTCTTGTCTACCGATAACTAATTGCACTGAATTCAGTGCATAGAATGGTTTGGAATATCCCCATTTTGTTACCAAAACATTTCAAAATAGTGTGACAGATTTTAACACCTCATTTAAACAATTAGATAAAACCCGTCAGTGGGCATGAATACAAACCTGACAAATATGAATCACTGCCTTCACAGCCAAAAGAACTAATCCCCTCTGAGCACTTCAAGAGTCATTCAACCACAATAACATAATTCAGAGTGACAATTAACATAACATAAGATTCTTACCACATCTTTCCAAGTGTTGAAAGGCCTCAGTGAAATGATCTTCTGGGCTTTTTTGATTGAGCAGCCAGATATTAGAGCCAGCTCTGGGGGCGTGTTAGAACGAGCCGTTTTAGGTAGGTGTGGCTGACTCTGAACTTTTATAAAGAATATCTCTTTGGATTTGAGACTTTAGTCTTTGCAACTTTACAGATCTTCTTTATGCACCAAGAGCTTGTAACACTCCAAAGAGAAAGGAAAAATTGAAATCGCATCATATGACCCCTTTAAACCATTTAAGCCTACCTCTTTTTCTATTTCAGGCAGTTTCTTCTTCAGCTTCTTCAACAGAGCCTCTTGTCTCTCTCTGCTTGGCTCCTGACTCTCCTCCTCCTCCTCATCATCATCAGAATCATCCTCCTCCTCCTCTTCAGATTCTGAATGCTAATTCAGAGTCAACAGCCATTTAAAAGGGAGTTCACCACATTAAGGAGATGTTGGGTTTAAAACATTGATTCAAATGGCTCACTCACCACAATTTTTCTCCTCTTCTTTGGTTGATCGTTATCATCATCTTCACTATGCCCCGCTTTGCCTTTCCGTCTGCCTGAATCTGCATATATAAAACAGTTTTGATTTGAATAAGTTACAATATTGTATCTGAATTACAAATCATCTTATAATTAATTCGCACAAAAGACAGAGCATTAAAAATTGGCATTAAAAACGCAAAGATGTCTGACAGCAGAATGCTGTGACTTACCAATATTTGTCCATGAAAATAATAAAAAATGCCTCACCGTCATCTCCATTAATCACCAAGCAATGTGCTATAGCTCCCTCCAGCGTGCTGGTGCTTTCAACCACCTGTCACAATATACAGGATAACACAACAGGACAAAATCCACAATGTTCACCCATTAAGTTGATGTTACACCAATGAGGGACTCATTACTACCTCCAGTAGATCTTTCTTGCTCTTTTGAGGGAATAGTTCCATTAGTTTGATGATTTTGTCCTCCATATCCTTGCTTATCTGGTTCTTGGACTCTGATGTTGTATCTCTGTGAAATAACGGCATGTTATCACTTATTACAGACTAGAGAGTGAACGCTCAAATAGTTAACAACTCTCATAATGTAATCAGCAAGCTTGAAATCTCTAGAAAAAGTGTGGAGCAGCAAATGTGTCCAAGAGAAGACACATTACAGCCTCACTTCTGACAAACTCAGTCTCGCTTACTTGCTCATCCTGACAACTTTGTCATCTGCAGAAACATCCTCTAATGCATGTCTTGATGCCTTGCCTGATGCACATCGACCATCTGTCTGTCTTTGGTGGGCTGGAAACAGAAAATTCAAGACTGAATCAAGAAATGTTGGCATACAACATCTTGTGACTATATCCTTGAAACATGACAACTGCTAATAGTATGCTGTAAAAGGGGTCTGATATAGTGGTAAACAAAAATAGAGAGCAGGTTATTGCGAGAATCAGCGTACAACCCCAAAACAAAGGTGAGAATAGAAAAATCTTCCCAGTGGCCACCCACACTAAAAACCTGGAAATGGGCTTAAACCTACAACTACAGTACAATACAAACTCGCATTCCAACTCGCATCAACATAATCACAGATAAAAACATGCTGTCTAGGTAGAAAACACTCCAGGTTTTGAGAAACATCCATTATGAAAGCTGAACAAAGCCCCGGCTGAGAAACGGCAGTTTTTACTCACCCCGTTTATTCTCTTTATCCGAGTTGGAGCCGTCCGACGATTGAGAGTGACTGTCCGCCGCGTTGTCCCTTTGGAAACGGAACCGGTCTAGATTGAAAAAGCTCATTTCAATTTTTTTCCGTTAGGAGAAATCTGTCTCACGCGGTCTTACTGTTCATCCGCCGGTGATGCTCGCGCACTTGATTGTGTTCGATAACAAAAGCTTCAGGACAGCCTCATAACCCAATCGATATCTGATAAAAAATAAATACAACACCGAACTGCGTAAGTGACTTGACTGTTAATTTAATGAAATGTTTCAGGTTTAATTGCTTCAGCGTTGAAGAATGACAGTGCGGTAAATTCTGAATACAGCAAATAGCACGTTCCCGCCACCGACTGGCAATGCGTCATTTCCGCTTTTGAGCCAATAACAACACAGTGGCCTTTCCCCTTTAAATTGTAAATCAGGATTATAAATATTAAACGTCACGATTTTACAGGTTCAATTATTTAAAATAGAAAGGAAAAGGTATATAAACTATACTAATGTATACTATATACTTTTGAATTAAGAATGTGGATTAAAATAATTTGGAGAAACGTTTCAAAGGCAGTAGTGCATGCACATACTCTAGCTGACCGCTCTTAATATAGGCTATTGAATTTTTAGCAATATGCTAGCTTTTCAATAAGATTATGGTGACAGAGGGAATTAATTACCTTAATAATAGCAATAATTATAGAATAGATAGATAGATACTTTTACAATTCCAACATTTTGACATTGCACGACATAAATTCTACATTAACATAATCACTCCATCCATCCACTAGGTGACACACTTGCATTACAAAGCTACAGTTAAATCTCTTGCCTGTGCGTAAAAGGGCGACTCGGTCGAGTCTGTTTCTGTCTAAACGAGTATAAGAATCCTTGAACAGACTGGCAACAGGTTCCCAAAACCCCTGTGAGACACTTACAAAGCTTTTGTGAGATTTTTCCCTGTTTTGTGGGAGACTGTGCACACAGATTTTTCAAACATCCCTTTTCTCTGCCATTTCTTAAACACTATTTTTTTAATTATTTTTTTTGGTAAGGTAGAAAATATTTGATTTATAAACGAACAAACTTTGTTGCACTGGATCAAAGAAAGGATCCTTATATCTCAAAATCACACAGATTAGAGAACTAACACGATTATAATCCAGTGTTTACTAATTGTTACAAATGTCAAACATAGATCATATTTCATATCATGTCAGATCATATTTCATTCTGCAGGTCCACAATGTAATTGGTTACTTTAACATTGGGATTTGAGTTACTCATCTGGACAAATGTTTCAAAGTTTTAAAAACCGCAGAGCAGGCACAAACTACCAGATCAATATTAATATATTAGCTTTTTAGCAAGATGCAATCTTTTCAATAGGATTAATTGTGAACTCAGAGAGGGAATTATTATTTATCTTGATAAACAGTGGTATTTACAAGAAGAGTTGGCAACTATCTCCATACTGCTGTAGAATCAATGTCAAAAGTACATGTACGCAGTATGCAGTCCTGAATTGTGCCGAGTATTCCATGCCGCCACTCTGTCTCCCTTTCCTTGTCACTATGGAGATTCCTATAACTTACACTAGTGCCATGTACACAATGGGCACACTGACATTGAGTTTGATCAGACTCCTGACCCTAAACAGCAGGGAACTGAATCAGGGACCCCAGCTAGTTTTACTGCAGTCTCATGGCATAAACCTCATCCCAAAGTAAAGTAAAGATAGTTGCAACATTAAATATTGTACTACAATGAAAGTGTGTTGAAACGTTGTGAAGTTTATGCAAACTTCAACTATCAAAAGCTGTGCAGAATGGAAGTTAGCGATGGTCAGACACCATCCATGCTCATTCTCATCAGTTTACTGTGTCATTGGCTGACGTACGTTACATTAAGTGCCTGACATCCCTATGGAAGTTTGAGGAATTGAGCTCAAGGTTGACCTACCATCCTTGTGGACTTGCCACTTTGGGCTGTCACTATCCAGTCTCACTCTCCATGGCTCCCTGCTTGTCCGAGACCCGACGGCGACAGGGAGTACCTTATCACCGTGGCAACATGTCTGCGATTTGGATCCTTCCCACCCCCTAAAACCAAATACCCGCCCGTTCCCAATGGCAAGATCATCACAAAATTAATTGCCATTGTCTCAATCCACATTCACTAGACATTATCCAAAAACTGTCAAATAAGGCTTGCGATTCTAGGATTGACGAAGGGCAGATTAATTATGTTGATTTATGTTTGGATAACTCTCACATACAGTTGACATGACGGTTGCCCTAGACATGTATGTATACGGTAGCACCACAATCAATGGGCAGAAAAAGAAAAAAATAATATTACGTTGCATTGATTGAGAAAGAAAATTATTGTCTATGGAGAAGAGTTTGTGGGCAATACAAATTTTATTTTAAAATGTTTTACAATTTTATTACAAATTCTAAAATGTTTTGGTTTTAAAACTCATTAAAGGCTCATTAAAATAGTTATTCTGAAAAGCTTCGACTACATTAAATATGAGAGGGCCCTCTAAACAGCAAAGTACTTTCTGGTAGAGTAGTGAAGTTTGAAATGCCATCCTGTCAGGTCAATGCATCATGCTTGTCAGGAATGGATTACCTTCCACTATGGGAAAACCTAGGCTTGAACGTACGTGTTTGTTTGTGTGTGTGTGTCTACAAGCAGTAAATGACAATGTCTCCCAGTGCCACAATTAGAGGTCCCACCCTGGCGGGTGAGGTCCAGGGTGGTGCTGCTTGGTATTTTTAATTAAATCAGCCTACAATGAGGAAGATGGAAGTGGAGGGAAGTCAGGGAGGAGGGGGGGAGCTGGGGTTAGTGAGGGGGATCTGACCATCTCCAGGGTAAAGGCAGTGTGGGAAGAGAATGTGCTCCTCCTTGCTGTGTCTTCTCTTTGTGTCCCGCCACTTCTTATATACTGTGGGAATTCCCAAGGATTGAGAGGTGAGGGACACACATTTGATTTGAATCAAGTCATATCATATTGCTCTTTTGATGCATGTAATGATATGATACAATAATTATTCTTATATATAGTTTATAATTTTGGAGTTCAAATCTGCTACTGAGCTATATTTGACTGAGCAGACTGACATCATTCCTTCATTTTGCATACTTAAGGACTAACTTGTTGATGTTAGCAACAGACATCTAGAATGCTTTCTGTTTTGACCAGTGATTCAGCAAGTTCTCAATGAATATGTGTAAAACTAATAATAATAAAAAAAATTATATATTATTCCATATATGCATTAGAAATTTGGTGAATCACTGGTCAAAACAAAATGTTTAATATTTTAAATTTATGGAATAAATTTAAACAACAAAATTTGCTTATGTGCATTGCATATTATTTTATATATTTATATATGCTTATATTTATTATTATTGTAATTTTTATAAAATTGCTGGTAAATGTTTTGTCAGGTCCTATTTGTTAACATTAGTAAAAGCTTTACCTAACATGAACTAACAATGAGCAATATATATTTGTAAAATTCATTAATTATTAATGTATTATTAATTATTAATGCATTTATCTTAACAAAACAACTTTTGATTAAAAAATTTATTAATAAATGTTAAAATTAACAAATGCTATTGAAGAATTGTTCATTGTTAGTCCATGTTAAATAATGTAATAAACTAATGTCAACATATTAAACCTTATTGTAAAGTGTTACCAAATTACTCAATATTAATTAAAATAATCATTGTCTGCTGCTTGATCATCACAGTGTTATAAATGTATGATAATGAAAAACAAGTTAAAAAAGGTAAGTAAAAAAAACCCCACCACATTCTTTGATATTAACCGCACAGGTACAGCAACTTAAAGCTCTTGAACAAGTAATGATGACTTACAAAGCATCAAGGCCCTCGCTCTCATTATTTCCCACTGGAGGGGTGCTCTGATGGCTCGACTGGGACTGTGACGCAGGGAACACACCCCTGCTGGTTTGGACTGGTGGGGTCAGTCTGAGCTGGGACGGGCCCAGTGGGGAGGTGGTGACAGTCACAGTGGAGGAGGAGTAAGGAAGAAGGGCCCCACCATGGGAGTCGATGTCTGACATGACCCTTCCCAGCGTGGCCCCTGCAAGGTCTCCAGAGGCCATCATCAGGCTCTGGACCGGTCGTCATGATTCTCAGTCTTTTTGCCATGAGTTCTCACTTTGTTCATTCACTTTGCAAGTGGACTTCATTGAAGTAGTGCTACTGTTTCTGATGTTGTCTTGAGTTTAATGGGCACCAAGCCCATTTGATCAGTATCCAAGCACTGGAACAAGATCATTCCTCTTTTTATAATTATTAAAGCATTCAATATACAATTATATTTTGGAATGTGCACCTCCGTCTGTGTCTTTGTGTCCCACCACGTTCTATAAACTGTGAGAATTACCAAGAAATAAAAGGCGAGTGAGACACACTAATGCCTTTAGAGATTATTGCTTTTATGATAATGAAAATTATTATTCCCAGCTAATGGCCCACATGGATTGGAATATCACAAACTTGTACGCATCCATAATCCTTTGCTCCTACTTTTTGCTAATGATGTGAGATACATTTTGCATAACGTTCTGTTATTTCTGAATGTTCTCTAAGTGTTCAAAATGTCTAGTTTTTAAAAAAAGGTTTTTCTTGGTTATTTAGAAACGTTAATGGAAATGTAAATTTTGAATTTCTTTGAACGTTCTGAAACGAGTAACAACATTTAAAATGTCTCCGTTCCCTCCTTCAGGGAACGAGGGTTACACAAGTAACCTAGACGTTTTATAACATTATTAAAGACCAGATCACTTTGAACAAACTTTCTATTAACATCACTGGAAGAACATTTTTCATAAATTTGAGAGAAAGTTGCCAGAACACTCTGAGAACATTCTCTGGGTTAACACATGCACGTTTAAATATATTCTTCAGATTTTCCCTGCGTATCCATGCTAATGTTAATCATTTCACATTTAAAATCAACTTCAGAACTACATTTGACTGAACAAATGAGGACTGACACTCAACAAACAACATTTATAAACAACATCTTGCATACTTACTGAATACTTATTGATATCAGTTGGTGGAGCTGTATGAAGAGCTAAAATGATATTTTCTTCCACTTATCCAACATATGGACCAGAAAGACTTTTCAAGAACTTTTTTATACTTAGGAGAAAAACAGGTTTTCTACATGACTTAGTTTATACCACTGTTAAGAATTGCCTCAACATAACTTACATTCTAGCTGCTATTTACCATCTGATTAGTCAAACAATATTGTTTAATTAAATTATTATTCATTAATGTGAATAATGTTCACTTAAAAACACTG